GGACCAGTTAATATATACACAATAAATATCCTGCAATAACGTTTTTCCTTTCTATTTACCTACATTGTGTTGGATTTTCCATGCAGATGCATAGAAGTTTTTGCCTATTTATCTACCAGGATTTATAATTATATCTAGTTATTTTTTATTATATAGGCTCCATGTGAAAATATGAGCTGGCAATAATTTGTAAGAGTTTGAAACTTCAATTATGTTGATTGAACACTGATTGCATAACTAAAAGTTCATCTATAATTCATTAATCGCATGAAATAAACAGTTCCACGGAGGAATTGCTTCTGCCAAGTAAAATGGACACTGGTCAAGGTAGCTCCGGAGGAGTGGTATGTATATCTTCTCCATTCATCATATGAGATATTTCATGTTATTTATTGAATTCCATCATGGGATTGTTGTAACGTGAAAACAACTGAGACCTGTTTCACCACTTTGGTGATGTCAGAAAGCACTAGTTCTTCTTATAACTACAGTACTTTCTTTATGTGCTGAACCTGTCTACTTTTTTACTTTGCATGCAAACTTTGGTTGCCTATAACATTTTTACTTTCTGTTCTTGTTTCCCTTGTTTATCCTAATCTTGGGACAATGGGTTTCATTGGGATATTAGTCGAAGGGAATTATATGCAACTGCTGGGATCTGATAGGATTCAAATCTATCAAACCTGTAATGGAATGCGGAGTCAAAAGGCAGCTTGACTTTGAAGATTTGCTTGAGCTACCCATTGATATGGATCCTTCATCCTGCCACACTTTGCTGTTAAATTGCTGGAAAGCTCAAGAAAGAAATGAATATTCCCGTCCTTCATTAATCAAAGCAATTTGTCATGCATATGGATGGCCATATTTCCGTCTTGGTCTTCTGAAGGTAATATGTTTTGTGACTGCTTTACGTTAGTCTTGGAAAAATAGAGAAGAACCAATGTGTCCATGTCAGCAAGCTGATGCTTCTTTGATAATCACAGTGATGAGAGTTGTGACTATAATATTGGATTCATATACATTGATTTGATGTTGCAATATCTCAACTTAATGCTTCCCCGTGTCTGTTTCTGTTCTCTGTTATCAACTTTCTTAGTTTTCTCTTTCTTTTTCCTTTTTAGTTATGACCAGATAAATCCCAAATTATGCATTTATTACACCAGAAACTTGATTTATAGAGAGATATAGTAGAGACTATTATTCTTAATTATGTTTTCTGCAGGGGTAGACGGTAGTGAAAATTTCAGCTATATTACTCTTTGACCACATTTCGTGCTAAGCACGATGGCCAAGAATTTTAAAAGGTGCAATGATTTTGTATAATGCAAGCTGGTAACTGTCGAAAGTTCTGTCTGATTTTAGGTGACTAACTTTTCATATTGCATACTGTGAGAAGGCACGGGAGAAAATATGTTATTGATATTAGATGAACAATACAATCCAAGAGGTCCTTATTTATAGCTATACTATACAAGGACATACTACTCCTCTACCAATGTGGGACAATACTACACTATATACATGCTGTAAACTAACACTCCCCCTCATGCCGGTGCATACAAATCATATGTACCGAGCTTGTTACATATATAACCAATACGATGACCAGTGAGAGACTTGGTGAAAATATCTGCAAGTTGATTATTCGACCTCACAAACTTTGTAGCAATCTCTCCTAAAAGTATCTTTTCTCTGACGAAGTGATAATCAATCTCAATGTGTTTAATTCTCTCATGGAACACCGGATTTGATGCAATATGAAGGGCAGCTTGATTATCGCACACAAGTTCCATCCGACTGATTTCACCAAATTTCAACTCCTTGAGCANGATCTGTAACTAGACATGTTGTGGAAGGACTGAGTGAGTTAAGGTAGTAAAGGCCTTCTGATTCACGTCCTGTACCAATTGTCTGTCCCGTACTGCGGTCCTGCATAATAAAAGAATCGTCAATAAAATATATAACACAATGGAGGGCACGAGTCAAACGACTAATAGATGCAAGACTAAAAGGACAGCCAGAGACATAAAGAATGGAATCTAGGGTGATAGAAGACAAGAGATTAGCTTGTCCAACTCCTTTTGCCTTTGTTTGACATCCATTGGCTAAAGTAACAGTGGGAAGAGACTGTGAATATACAATATTTGACAAAAGTGATATATTACCAGAGATGTGATCAGAAGCGCCTGAGTCCATAACCCATGGGCCAAGAGTGCTAGACTGGGAAACACAAACAAAAGAATTACCAGTGACAGAAGTATCAGTCTGAGCAACTGAGGCTACTTGTGGAGATGTCTGCTTACTTGCTCGATACTGAATGAGCTCATTATATTCTTCTTTAGATAAAGAAAATCCTTGGTTACCTGGAGTCTCGGTCTGAGCAATGTAAGCATTTTTGGGTGGACGACCATGTAAGGAATAGCACATTTCACGAGTGTGTCCAAGTTTGTGACAATAAGAACACTTGGGTCTAGATCTTCCAAAACGACCTCCTCCTCGTCTATGCTCCATAGTTTGAGATGCCCGAACATCCATTGTCTGGGATGCAAGAACAGAGGAATCAAGTATCTGTGATGAGATCACTGGTGGACTTGGTGCTGCAGCAAGGCGGAGTAATCGAGAGAATAATTCATCAACTGTCGGGATAGTCGGACTAGCCAAAATCTGGTCGCGTACTAAATCAAGATCATTAGGAAGTCCAGCGAGGGTAAGAACGAGAAACATCTTCTGTCGTTACTCTTGTTGTTTTTCCACACTAGCAGAAACTGGCATTAACTTCTCAAATTCCTCCATGACTGCCTGTACTTGACCCAAGTAAGTAGACATATCCAATTCCTGCTTCTTTAAGTTTGTCATCCGCGATATCACATCATAGAAGCGAGATATGTCATTAGTGTATAAGGTGCGTGCCTTTGCCCAACCCAAATAACATGTCTGGAATGGACGAAACAAGGGCATCAACTTGGAATCAATAGATCGCCACAAGATGCTACATAACTGAGCATCGATTTTTGCCCAAAGTGCTATTGCCTTTTCATCTCCATCACTAGACTGTTTGATTTGATGATCTTGAACATCTTGATCTCTACACCACAACTCGACAGATGAAGCCCAAGCTAAGTAGTTTGAACCTCCCATTAAAGGTTCTGAAGTAATAATAGCACTAGAGCTTCCAGAACTCATGTTTCTAGACCCAAAAGCATCAAATCCCAAAGACATTGTTGCAAATTATTACCAAATAAGAGAAAGAATCAACTGTAATCCGTTGAAATAGAGTACGGAAACACAGAAACAGAATACTGAAATACTGTAGCTGCCGGAATCTACTGTAGCTGTGGGAATAGTACTGTAGCTGCCGGAAAAAACTCAAAGTTGTCGGAATGAAATGAAAACAGTAGGGGTAGGATCGTAATTACCAGGCGACCCAACTGTTCTGTAGGAAGATTTTCAAAAAATGGCCGGAAGTGGTCGTACGCGCCGGCGAGTGAGCTCACGCGCGTGAGCTTCTGGTGGCGCGTGAGGAGGCTGCTACCGGAGCTTTTTACTGGGGTTTGGTCGCCGGACAGTGACGACTCTTGTGTTAGTGTTGGATTTTGCACAACACTGACAAAAATGAAGCAGATAGAAAACAACTTTAAAAAAGTACTGTTCTCTTTCCCAGAATCGCTGGAATTTATGCACAGCGATAAGTCTCTTACAATTGCTCTGATACCATGTGAGAAGGCACTGGAGAAAATATGTTATTGATATTAGATGAACAATACAATCCAAGAGTTCCTTATTTATAGCTATACTATACAAGGACATACTACTCCTCTACCAATGTGGGACAATACTACACTATATACATGCTGTAAACTAACACATACCACAACTTTTTGGTGTTTTCTTTACGTGGCATTATATAGAAATTTTCTTTAAAATATAGGGACTACTTAGATCTCAAGACCAACATATGAATTTGATGACGCATTCTTTATTGATAAATAAAGTGCTGAATTTGTTTATACCTATCTTGTTAAATATTACTAATAGATTCAAAAGTTGTAAGTAACATTTCTCCATTTTGTAGGTGCTTAATGACTGTCTCGGTTTTGCGGGTCCATTGCTACTCAATAAGTTGATCCGCTTTCTTCAGCAAGGTTTTCACATACAATTATTTCATTTTTCCAGTATCCATTCTGAATCGAATGAATTTAATTCATACTTTCTCTGGAAAACTGATATTTCTATCTTGTTTTTGGAGCCTTTGATATTTGCAAGACAGTTGTTTTTCTTTGCTTTTCAGCTGGCATAAAAATTAATGCTCTCCTAGAGTTAATTATAACCTTCGTTTTAGACGTGCACTCGGAAGCTTTCTGAATGATTCTCTTGTCAATCAACATTGTGCCTCCATAAAATTAATTCTAACCTGATATTAGTACGTGTGGTGGTAAAATTTTCAGAATCATCACTCTTGTTCACATTCAGTTGCTGCATGTACGCTTTTGGATTTTCATTGTGGATGTTCTCTCTCCATCAATCATTAGAGTGTAGATTTTTAGTTGAAGATATTTTCTTTCTTTTCCTTTACAAGGAGTGTAGTATCTTCAATGTAAAGTGGTCTCATTGTCATCATTTATTATGGTCTACATTCCATGAATATGCAGATAAATGCTCTTTCCAGTTTAACGGTGTTATCGGCAATGTTTAGCTTTAATGTTGTATATCATCAAACTCATTTTAGGGTAGATCAATTAACTACTTATTTGACAAGTGTGCCAGATGTCTTCATGACTGTTAATTGGATCTTTTATAACATTCTTATGGTTGAATAACCCTTTGTGACTGGTGTTCGTACTCTTTTGTACTCTTTATCAACAGGTTCAAGAGACTATGATGGCTATATTCTTGCACTATCCTTGGGCCTTTCTTCTGTCTTGAAGTAACTATTACTTTCCGTTCCTGGAATTCATTAATTTTAAGTTATGACGTGTTTCAGCTTCTTTCAAGTTCTTGTCAAACTACATGGTGTTATTGGTGAACTTTGTATGTTACTGATTGAACACTCAATGTTGTCTTGCACATACACACAAAAAAGAAGAGAAAATTGTGTGAATTCTAGGTTCTCGTTTATCAGCATATGGGATTTCAAGTTAGATCATGTTATTAAGTTGTTATAATCTACATATATAACCTCTCAATTTTTAGTGTGTCTTAGAGATGACTTCCATGGTTTGGCCAAACTTGAGTCTTGGATAGATACTAGACTTTTACTTAAAAATTT